AAGTAGAGTTGATAGCGTGGGTCCCGCAACGAATTGCTTGGTTCACAAGCCATATAGTTGACAAATGTCCAAGCACTTGACAAATGTCTCGCGACAACTCGCTCGGCGTTTTTTCGGGGTGTAGGTTTGGGCGACAGTTTTAGGTGTCGAGACTTTGGGGAAACGGAACTTCTCCCCGGAAAAATGGAAATATTTTTCGTCGATTGCCTTTCTTTTTCATTAGATTTGATCGTTTTTTTTTTGTTTCTGTTTCGTTTTCATGTTTATTAGACTTGATTAATTAGAATGCTCCTCCTATATTAGCGATGTTCAAGACCCAATCGGTAATGAAGAGAGCGGCAGCTAATTCAAATAATTAAAGGACTCCCTACCTCACAAACTGTGCGCTCCAATCTTCTATCGCAATCCTGGAATATGCGGCGGGTGGTGGAGAAGATTCCGGACCCGAGTTTTTGTCTGTTTCTACATGATGTGAGGTTCAGGTGTATACTTTACTGGCTTGGGTGCTCTTGTGTATGCTTACATCGCAAATACTGGTGAGCTGGCAACAATGAATGAATTACGGGAATTACGTCAAAGGATGACTTTGTTACCAGCTTCGATTCATAATAAAGAAACAGGTAAGTGGTCTTCAATATTTAGTCGACGTCGTCTTAATTCTAAATACTGCTACAGATACCGAGTTAGCTCAACGATCGTTACTTTTGAGTCAGAATCGCCTACATTACTACAATTTTTGGTTTTTTTCGTTACTTGTGCGATCTCCGAATGACAGTTCTGTGAGTTTTTGTTTTGGTCCTCACTCATTTCCTTTTACGACCTTAGTTTCCAAAACTAAAGAGGTCGCGGGTGACATAGTTCTTGTTTCCCTGGACCTGGAGCTCAAATTTGCTAGGAATAAAGGTGGCAGTATGAATGCTGATGGGAGGTGGCATGACCAGACTCGGACCACAAAAGGCGGGACGTACACGAAAATTTCTAATTAGGACATGGGGCGTTCAAATTTGAAAAGCGTGCGAAGGGCAGGTTTGGGACACCGATGGCAGGTAGTAGACAGCGACTGAACGGGATGCAACCTGCGGAGGCGTAGGGGGTACAGGGGCGGATCGTGCGTGAAGTGAGCGTAATTTGAGTGAAAGCACGCAGTAAAGTAGGAATAAAAGGAGATGAACTTAGCGCATGAAGTGTGATGGTGTGTGTGTATGTTTCGCTGGGAATCAGTAGTTCCTGTTTCATTGGACCAAGGCTTCCAAACTTGGGAGAGTGCATGTGGCGGGTCAACTCTAACATAAGAAGGAGGAGATCACGGTGCAGCCGAGCGATCTTACTTGTAATGCAACAACGCTTGTTTTCTACACAGTACCGATTTCCATTTTAAGTTGAAGATAGTTTTCATGAGTATTGAGACGTCCTGTTCGCTCGTATAAAAACGTAATCTGGAAGAACGTAACCTAGGCACATATTGAACTGGTACAAACTTCCATGCGGGGAACTTGATTGTCATTATTTCCTGCTTTAGGTAAGGATATATGAATCCCAGGACCCAAACCTCAAAGACTGGGCAGTGATCGAATTTTTCAATAACATTTATGATGTTGGATTTCTCGGCAAATGGAGGTGGTTAGATCGGAAATTTAATGACTATGATGTGAATCACGAGGAACTTTCAAAGCTCCCTGATTAAGTGATAATCTACTGTTATTTTGTTATGACTAGGACTTAGTTGTTGTGAAGATTCGTTGGAAATGTTGCATATTTTTATTGTTTATACAAAGGAGTAAATAGTATTTTTGAGATTCATGACTTTACGAGTATTACAGAGTGAAAATCCTGATGAACTAAATAATAAATAATCTGCTTGTAATTCGTGAATGTATACAGAAAATATTAAACGAGATATGTTCAAAGTAAAACAGAGTCAACCGAGACTGCTTCTCACTGGCTGCTTTCATAGTCCACGACTCGGCCCGCGAGCGCGCGAGCGACCGATGGACTACTCTTCCGGTGGTATCGACCAAGATTCAGTTATAAACAAGGGGCAAGCGCCGTCCGCCATCGCTCGCTAATGGGCCGAATCGTGGACTATTAAAGCTGCCACTAGGGAAACAACGTTCCGATATTGTAATCAAAAGAAATAATGAAATCGCATTGGAATTGGAGGCGTAAGGAATGTATGAGGTGTTCTCTAAAGCTTCCTCAATCACGAAAAGCAATCACGTAACAGAGTTGCCCTTCACTACACAAATGCTATGCGAATATGAAAACAAGGTAAAAATCGAACTAAAATCGAACACCCACTATATTCGAAGTAACCGAAGTAACCATAACAATTGCGAACACAGCTCAGACAAAAATGGCGTATGGCCAGCAGACGAATTGGGAAGTACTTCTATGCTTTTTCGGTATGGGAAAGTTGAGAACACTTATTGCATCTTCCGGGCATACATGTAACACCAAGAAACATGGGATCATAAATTGCACCGAGACATCTCCACATCTCCACCCTATATTTGAATACACAAAAGGGTAATCTTGCGTGACTTTGAAGCGGAGTGAAACTCGGTGCTTCGATTTTAAAAGTAGTTAATCTCTAGCGCCAGTCTTCTTACTTTCTAGGAATCTTTTGACAACTAGCTCTTGGAAAAAGTGATGACTTTGTGACCGAAAACAAATAAAACTTGGCTTTCCTGGATAAGAGCCCGTGACTGTTTCCGAAAGTAACACATTTTCTGTTAACAGACTTGCCATTGTTGGAATACCAATCACCAGTATGCGAATTATTGTATAGTAGCGCTAAAATGCAGAGAAAGTGTGACACGCTCCAAAAATCCTGCTGGGAGAGAGAAAAGGTTTCAATGAAAGCTTTCTTCGCCAGTAAACTATATGGTACGACGAAAAAATTTTTTCCGAATTGAAACGCTTCAAAAACACCTGATGGATAGCCATCTATAAACAGCGTATGTGTATGACACCTCATTCATACGGTGGTCCTGATAGCCTTCTCTTTTTTCGATTTCCCTTTTTGATTTATAATAGTTTTTGATATTTCGTTGAATTTCATCCATGGTGACCTTAAACTTACGGTCCATCCCCACCGCTGCCATTGCACAGGCAATGCTGAAATTTGCATATCTCGATGCTTCTAATCTAGCGAAATGCTCGGTTCAACCGCACTTTTCTTGCCACTAGCCAGTACCTTACAAGTCGGTTTCACGAGGGAAGTTGGCATACCCGTGTGCCGGAACTTCGGTTTTGCCCTATGACTCCTTACGGGATGAGGCATCACGGCCAACTGATGCGATTAACCCTTTGATGACAATGACTCCCACCGGTGGGTGCACTATGAATGGCGCAGGGACATTGGCACCCAATTTGAGGTGCCAGCATACTTCCTCGTTTCTTACCA